CGATCATTCAATTTTGGGCATTCAGCTTTTTAATGTCCATCTTCTTTACAAAAGCACACTGATTCCTACGAATTCCAAGATGTGCCCCTCTAGACTGCGACCTTTTACCTTGGTTTGGACTCTTTGCTCTTGCAACCAATGCCCCCGCTACCGGCTAAATAGAAGTCTCCTTATCCTTCTTCTTAAGTTGATAATTCACAAGTGCAGCGGTGACCTCACTATATGAAAGAGATGCCTTCCCATTAATAAGAGTAAGGACGAATGTCTCATATTACTCGTCGGGCAAGTAACTCAACAATAGCAACGTCTTGTCCTCATCTTCAATAATAACATCTACATTTGCCAAATCTGCAAGAAGCTTCGTGTAGTGGTTCATGTGATCACCAATGGATGTCCCCTTTTTCAATTGGAAGCGATAGAGCCTCTTCTTCAAATGCAAGTGATTTTTGACGCTTAGGACTTCCCAAATCTTCTTAGCTGAAGTCTCATTCATCACATCATATTTTAGATCTTGAGTGAGACAAGACCTAATCACACCACAAGCTATTCTATTCATTTTCTTCCAAACCTTCTCATCAATATCGTCCGGTTTCCCGTCCAACTCCAACGTATCTTCCAAATTCTGCGCATTGAGCGCATCTAAGACTTCGCATCGCTAAAGTCCAAAATTGTTAGTGCCATTGAACTTCTCCACGTCAATCTTCATCTAGTGGATACTCAAACTTTGGACAGTCTTCACACCTGAAGAACCACCCTCAACACCCTCTTTCTCGGCCATAATCCTCAACACACCAATAACCAATGCGGAAAAAAATAAAGAATAGATCCAAAACTGAGAAAAGAAAGAAGCTTTACCAAAAAGATCCCACCTTTCTCACCAACTGAAACCTTAGACGGGCTTCCCAAATCGATCTACTCCTCTAAATAGCCCAAGCGTAGCCCGACTTCTGATACCAATTATTATGGAAAACTGTGTCGAGGAACCAAACCAAAATCAATGCACTAACACCAAACACCAATTTTAACGTGGTTCGGAAATTGCCTACGTCCATGGGGCAAGAAGGGGATGTGATTTTCACTAATAGAGAAGAAGAGTACAAATTAAGATTACAAATCACTCGAAGGAACAAACTAATCTCACCACAAAGCTCTTAATCTCTCTAAATAAACCCTAAACAAATAGCTCAGAAAATACCTCTTTTCTATGCTCTAAATATCCCAAACTCTAGCCTTAAGAAACCCTAGAATGTATATTGGTATTTATACAAACACTAAAATCCAAATCAGAACAGGAAACTCAAACTGGGCCTAACCTGATACGCGGTCGACCGCCACGGTCGACCCCCCCCCCAACGACAGAGCCTGTAAATACGTTACAGGGTCTGGCGGTCGACCGCGACAAACGACAGAGCCCAAAAATCTCCTACAGGGTCACGCGGTCGACCTTACCAAGTCCAGGCTCATGCTTGAGCCTGTGCATGTTCGCGGTCGACTGGCCTTGCGCCGCGGTTGACCGTGCAGCTCCAAAACAGTTCCCTGTGTCCCAAAAGTCTGTTCTTCTCCAAAATTCTTCTTCGCCAGTTTCGTTCAAAAAGACGCCTTAACTTTGATATTTTATCAACCGCCCCCCCCCACCCGCAGCCCCCCTCACCCCTCCTTAAAAAGAGTTACTTTAGGCGGTTATCTCTCTGAGATACAAATCCTTAAAGTTCAATGAGCGATTTTTTGAATAACCCCTAAACTTGAGGGGTTCTTTCTAATATTTTCAAAGTTAAGGGGTTATGTAATAATCATCCAAAGTTAGGGGGTTTTCTGATATTTAGCCTATATTTTAATACTATGGGAGGTTTTCTGATATTTACCCTATAGTTTCATACTAATTCCTCATCATCTTAATTGTCTGCTCCATAAACCTTAAAGAGCTGTAGTCTTTACACACAAACAGGTGTTTGTTCAATGCCATACAAAAAGTGGCTTGTCACGAGGACCATAAAAAAGGTCTTTGTGTAGTAATTTTCAGTTCTTATAATCATTGGCAAGTTTTTAGCATTGACCTCTGAGAAACTAGATAGATAAATATGAAATTGATTGTATGAACACTGTAGCTTTGGATGACAAAATACATCGTCACATGGTACGTCCAAATTCTGCAAACAACACAATTGACACCTGAGATGATATTTGAAACCCATCCAAATGCAAACTGGAGAAAGTTAAACTAGTGCGTGCAACTTGAAGGGGGAAAGGATCCATGCATTGATTGATCACTCTAAATGTGTGGACCAAAACTGCAACTTAGCCAGCATATTTGGACACAGGGAAGTAAAGGGAACATAAATGTGGGTGCTCTACATTAATGCTCTAACCATCTTTCTAATATGTGAAGATCAAAGAGTGTAACCGGATTCGGTGGATCATGCAGAATACAAATCTGTGAACTGCATGGCTAGCTGGGAGCCAGCAACAGATTTTGCCTTAGGCTGCTGTTTCTATGGTGCCCACTCATTTCAGGGATTGTTTGGATGACAGGAAATAGAGTTACAATAGCAAATGTTGCAGTAAAATTTATAGTTTCAATGTTTAGTTATCGATACATTAGTTGAAAACGGTAATTGGATTTTCATTGTGTAGGAAAAGCTGGCTGGCCACAACAAATGTTTCAAGCCCTTCCATTAATTTAAAAAATTAATGACAAGTCATCAGGTTAGTTGATTGCTAATCAGAAAATATATCACTTTATAATTGCAGATAAACAAACACGTTGCATTGGAAATATATTTCCAGCAACGAAAATGCAAATCCAACTGGTTTTGCAACTAATCAAACGTTGAATTTGAATATGGAAATACACTTCCTCTGATAAACTTACGTATATCTAAACTACAGATTTGAGATCAATTTCCCATAACAGGTGCTGCACATAGTGTTTTTTTCTACGTGCAATATCCGTTGCATTTACAATCGCAGCATACCAAACAGCGCAATTAGTAGTACTTTATGTTCTATGCACAGTCCAGACAGCACTAAATTCGAGCCCAATCCAGCAAAGATAAGAGGCGTAGGAAGCTGGTTCATACGGATTACATCATATATTAGGGATAACAATTTGTTGGATACGAAATCTTCTGAAATTAATTCACACGTCAGTGCCATCGTCGTGAATGCTGTTGGTTCCATCTGAAAGTAACAAAATTGATCGGTTTAAAGACGTATAGGTGCATTGGATGTAGGATGTGGACTACGTACAATATCATAACTCCCCTTTTTGTTTGCTGTCACCATGTGGCATTAGCTCCATCAATTAAAACAGCACCCAAAAAAAAAAAAAAATCCAAATAATTACACCCCATATATTTCTTCTTCTTTTTGGAGATGAAATATAGCTCAAAAGGTAATCTAGCTAGTCTTATTTTTCTTTAGTAACGGTTACACATTTTACTGGCCTACATAAAAGGGAAGTAATCTAACCACGAAGTAGGACTTTGTGCTAAGAAAGATAATGTATACTGTAACGCACCTATCAAATTCTAGCTAGCCCTGCCATCTTCCTTCACCAATCTCTCGTTTAATATCAACCACCATTTGATACTGCACATGCAAGTTAAAAATGGGTGATGGCAACTTTGCAGTCAGCTGGATCACCTATTCAGGGCAACCCACTTGATATCTCCATGAAAGAAAAACTTGTATCGCCTATTTTTAGAGTTCTTGATGTGATGGGAGAAATTACGAGTTTAATTAAGACAGGTTGCCGACATGTTCAATGGAACTTATTTAGAGAGTTGAGCATTAAAATGGTCCAAATGTCCCTGATTGAAGAGAAAACATCCTTAATCTCATAATTTGATTTTAAAAAGAAAGACAAAGAGAATCTTCTCATAAAATCTTGTTATCTTCGTAACATGTACGCTCTTTTGTCAGTTGACTCAAGTTTCCATTGTGTCCGCAGTGTTCTACCCCTCTCCGTTGCCTTCCACTTCATGTGGTCGTGGTTGCACAGTTTCACAATCCGTGTACTTCCCTTTTCCCATTTCTACTTGCCTAGAATTTTGTTGGGTGTATTATGGGTGATATGATCAAATGAGTAAAGTATAATGTCCATACAACAAAAATCTCAAATCGCATGTTTAATTTATGAACTGGACCACCCTACTTCTCAACTAGAATCTTATCGGCCCATCATAGTAGCAGCTCACCGACAACTACAGAGATCTTCCTAGTTTTTGATCAAGACTGCAAGTGTTTGCATTTGTTCGTCTCGTGGAGGCAATTGCATCGCACCAATATAGGCGGACTAACAAAAGGCTGAGTGCAGAAGCGGGGTTGGATGAACTCCTTCATTGATATCACGATGTTATTTTGTTAGGCCACATACACGTCAAAAAGATTTGACAACCAGATCAACGCGCAGGTGGTTTGGAGTTAATGTAAGGCCAAAAAGGACGCAGATTCGAAAGAAAAACAACTGGTAGATTAATCAATACGAAGAAGTAGTTTCAGATTTGAGTTTAGCTGAATTTACCTCAATTCATTTTGGGGATTAATTCGTCCTATCGACAACCTGTCAAATGAACCCTCTCGCGGAACGTGCCCTCCGGATCTTGTGTTGAAAGAAGGCAAGAAGAAATCACAGCAAATAAAAGAAAACTTTGCAAGGAAAAAATAGAAGAGAGAATACCAAAAATTTAACAAGGTTCGGCAACTTAGCTACGTCCTCGGGAGCCACACAAAAAAAAATTCCTTTGAATATTAAAGAAAATTACAAAGCTTGCAAGAGATGATCTCAAACTTCTTGAGATCACTCAAAAAAGAACTATCACTGCTACAAAAGCCTCTATTAATAACGGTTTATTTAATAACTGTTATTAATAGAGCATAAACGATAGACATTCACATCTTCTTAATAGAAACGGTTTTGTGAAAATGTTGACTTATTATTTATTTAAAAAATAGAACGAAAACTCAAAAAATTTGGGATGAAGTCAAAATTTCATCTGGGCGGCCAACAAAAGAAATGGGGGAAACCAAATTCACTTGCCAAAAACCTAACTATCGCCCCAAAAAAGAATCATTCTCTAAAAACCCTAACTATCGCCCCCAAAAGCCGTCGGCCGGCAACTTCGAGCTCCGCTCAGCTGTTGAGATCTACCCTCGCCCTCACCAATGTAATTGATCCTCGCTTGCCAACTCTTGTGAGATTTACCTTACTCGACATAAAAACCTAAATCGTCCTTTGCGGAAGCCCTAGCAACTTCGACCACAAATCTGAGCTTCACCGACTACCTTCATCGCAACTCCGGTAATTCCTCAGCTTCTTCCTCACCTGGTTTCATCCATAGATGGTAACCTTTACCCATAGTTCAGCTCTCTTTGTGTCAATGGTTATGGTTTTTACCATTAGATTGATTATGAAATCCTTTTCCTAATTTCTGTTTTGATTCAAGATGCTTGATTGTTAAACTGTAGTGATGTCGATTTGTTGAAATCTCGTATGAAAATTAGATTGTTGCAATAATATGATTTGTGTTTCAAAATATGTTATTTTGGGTCTATTTTAAAACATAATTGGTGTAATTTGTGAACAGACTGTTATTATACATTAAACATCCAGATGTTGAGAGATGTTCATGCCCAAAACTTTGGTTTTCTTCAATAATATGTTTATTTTTGTCATTGATATATATTTTTTTAACAAATACTTCTTCAAGTTCAATTTCACAACATATTGATTATTCCTTTTAATGTACCTTTCATTGCAGTTTTCAAATGTACATTTGACGACACTAATACCATCAGTTAGCGAGGAAGCAATTAATCTTATCGCGGTAAGGCCTGTCTATCAGAATGATGCATTTGATTTAGCTAGTAAAAGACAGTTTTTTTTAATAATGATTGAATATTGAGAAGATTATATGGCACGTTCCGGAAGTGTGACAATCGCTCTTTTTCAAAGTGAATATTCAATATTGTTTAATTTTTAACATGCATCCTTGCGCAGTTACTCTGCTCCTGGGATCCCATCAAAAGGCCCACTGCAGCAGATGCCCTTCGGCATTCTTTCTTCCAGGTCATTTTTAGCATTCCAGGAAGTTAATATTTATACACACTTATCTTTGGTAAGTACTTAAAAGTTGCTACTTCCTTGCTTATGACAGTCGTGCTTATACATCCTACCATCTCTTCGTGGAAAGCAATGGGACCCCCAAAAACACCTCCAGTCTGGTTGGTTTTCAATTTTTTCCTTCGTCCTCAGGATCATTTTTTCCTTCTGTTGGATGTTTGCATGTTGCCTTGTCCGTTATCTAATATAAATGTTACATCTTATAGTTGGGAATAGAAGTTCCATGGAACAGAAGAGTGCTGCTAGAAGATACTCTACTGGTGCTCTATCAAATACAAAACCAACAAGCAACCTGCTCACATCAAATCTAAATGCTTCTGCTATGACAAGTATTTTATTTCCCTGGTTTTATATTAGAGGGTATATCGTATGTATGAATACTGTTGGTTGTGGTAAATAATCACTTTTTCTGATATATTAGAGCATTACTGAGTACACTTTTTTGTGTTTGATTTTAACTTTTTATTTGCCTTATTGAGTACATTTCTTTCCATTACAGCTATACAACAGAAGATGGAGATGGATCATCAGGTTAGTAAACCAGACACGTGATCTTAATTTAATCACATGATTTCAAAATCTTTCATTCTGGTATTTCTCTTCGACATGAATTTGATAAAAGTGCCAGACCAGTGAGGAACAGTTTGCGACAACCTCGACAACTGTTTCAATATCAACCACTGGCCATATAGAAACCATCTTGTGGTTACTTTCTTCCTGCATCTGTTTTATTTTCTATTACCTAATTTTAAGATTATAACACAACAGTTCTTTTGGCAGCTTGTATTTCGTTGTAAAACCAGCTTATCAAAGGAGATGATCAGTTTTTCTATTTCTAAATCTCCATTGTTTGTAGTAGGATGAAGGTTGCCAGGCGATGGATGATGAAGGGGAGAATATTTTGGATAGAATCAGTTGGAAGGAGTCAAAACATTGGGAGAGACTCGATGAAGGAAGAACTCGTCTTGATAATTAATGGGCTAGCCATGATCTTTATCATTCAAATTCTAATTATTCACGGTTTATTACTTCACTGTCATAGGTCTTTGAATAGGTTTCCATTTGTTAGATTTACATTTCAGTTAAGAGTCATAGGATGTAGAGAAGTTGTGAACCTTGTAAATGGTCTAAACTTAAAGTTTTATAGTTGATTATCACTTTATTGAATTTATTGACAAAGCTTGTATCAAACACGCATTATTTTTCAATTGATTAAGTTAAGTTCTTATTTATAATGGTAATTATTTGTTTCATTTAAATGATATCATGCATTGAAATAAATGATTAGAAATAGATGAATATCATTGCTACAGTTGGATGCGAGAATAAGCAGTAATATTTTGGTGAAAATATCTTTTTAATACCCTATATCAACGGTTTTCTATTGTCAATATACCTTAGTGGTGGTTAGTGTTTGCGTCGAAAATTGTTGTATTCATTGCGGTATTCATTACAACTTTAGTCGTTACAACGAAATCAAAAAGATTGTCTTTTTATAAGACTTTTACACAATGAAAACAAAAGTTACAACTCTCGTCAAAACAAATGCAGAGATCGTTTATCGGTCTTCTGCTTGCGTGGGATCTTTGCCTGTGCCGGGGTTTATCCGTGGATCGCCTTAGATCTGGATCCGGTTGATGGAAAATTCGGCAGAGCTTCGCCTTCGCCGAGGAAGTATTTGATTTGAAGCGCTGAGATCGACCAAGCGAAATCAGGGCTCTTCTCGAGATTAAGACCAAGCATAATCTCAAGGGACGGGAACGGGCGTCGGATCTCTCGAACTCTCCTTCTTTATGCCGAAGAACTCGCCAAGATCTGTCAACCCTCGCTAAAATTCGTGCTCCTTTGACTCCACAATCCGGCAGCACCTCATCGTCTTGATAATCAATCGCCCCCGCTGAAAGGAGGCCATAGGCTTGTATTTATAGGGCTTCAGAAGCGGTTATTTGGATGAGAACAAGTAGGAGAACAAGTGATTTGGCCTTATCTTCAGTCAATAACAGCCTAACCACGTTTGTAGATGATATCAAGTCAGTTGGGAACCTCTGGAACTGAAAAGATCTCGAGAAAATCGTCAAAACCGTCGAAAAACACATCAGGGGGTCAAAACAGCGCGACAGGTCAATCTGACCCGCGGGGGCGCGGGTCGGTCTTGGCCGACCCGCCGACCCGCGGGTCGGCTTGGCCGACCCGGCCGACCTGCGGGTCGGTCTTGGACGACCCGCTGATGCGCGCGGTCGGCTTTGGCCGACCCGCGCGACCGCGCGGGTCGCCTTGGCCGACCTGCCAAACGCGGGTCGGCCTTGGCCGACCCGCCGACATGCGGGTCGGCTTCGGCCGACCCGCGCGCCTCCGCGGGTCGGTTTGGTCCGTACCGCGCGGTGCGTTTTTGGCTTCGCTGACTTCTTGTGTTTTACGACTTTTCCGACCTTCCGGACTTGTAGTTTCTCCCGTTTTATTTACCTCATCCGTCGTGTTGACTTGTATGCTCCATGCGAGTTGATTAATGTACGTTGATTAACGCCATCGTGAACTGACTGACGGCGCGCACTGATTGACATGCACGAGCTGAATGATGCGTGCGTGTTAACTGACTGTTGGGCGCGTTTGTACGCTTTAAGTTGATTAACGCGTGCGGTCCACTTGGCGTTTTCCATTGTGGTGGTTCGTTGTCGTGTCATCAACAGTTTGCCGATTCGCTTCATGCGCTTGTCGGCGTTGGATAATCCTCTTTGATTCGGATAACGACGTTCATCACTTCTCTTGTCTTGAGGCTGTGTGGCGGGCAGCCNTAAGAAGAACGGGAAGATCAGGGTTTGTATTGACTTTAGAGACCTCAATGCTGCTTGCCCAAAAGATGATTTTCCCCTTCCCATCACGGATGTTATCATCGACAATACGTGCGGGTTCGAGAGGATGTCTTTTATGGATGGTTTCTCTGGTTATAACCAAATAAAATGCATCCAGATGATGAAAAGCATACCGCATTTAGAACGCCTCTCGGCGTCTTCTGCTACACAGTTATGCCCTTCGGCTTAAAGAATGCAGGTGCTACATATCAGCGAGCCATGTCAAAGATCTTTCAGGAGCATCTCCGAAAGACTGTCGAATGCTACGTAGATGATTTGGTCGTGAAAAGTCGTGATAAAAAAGATCACATTAAGGACTTGAAGACCATGTTCGACTTGATGCGAGCCCATCAATTGAAGATGAATCCTACCAAGTCTTTCCTCGGAATGTCTAGTGGTAAATTCCTGGGATTCGTCGTCACCACCAAAGGTATTCACATCGATCCTGATAAGGTAAAGGTGATTAATGAATTGCAGCCTCCGAGAAACCTCAAGGAGCTCAGAGGATTGCAAGGGCGATTAGCTTATATTCGTCGGTTCATCTCGAACCTCTCAGGAAAATGCCAACCATTCTCCAAGCTCACAAAGAAGGGCGTGTCATTTGTATGGGATGACGCTTGTCAAAAGGCATTCGAGAGTATTAAAGAATATCTCTCGAAACCTCCTGTACTCGTTGCACCAAAATCGGGCAAACCGTTCTTGATTTATGTCAAGGCGACGAGCCACTCATTAAGTGCATTACTTGCACAAGATGACGATAACGGTCATGAGCAGGCAGTATATTATTTGAGCCGAACCATGGTGGGCGCCGAGTCTCGATATCCTATGATTGAGAGGGAATGCCTCGCCTTGGTATTATCTGGTCGGGCAGACCATTTATGTCATCTCTAAAGTTAATCCGGTCCGAGTATTCATGACTCAACCAGCTTCCATGAGCTGGCGATTAGCAAAATGGGCTTTACTCTTGTCCCAATACGACTTACATTTTAAACAACAGAAGTCAGTAAAAGGGCAGGCCATCTGTGATCTCCTGGCAGCTAATCCAACTACGGACACCGTTGAGTTATATGACGATCTACCCGATGAAACCCACGAAGTAAACGCAACTTTGCACCAGCAAGTATGGCGTTTGTACTTCGACGGCGCTTCACGAGCAACTAATGTAGCAAGTGCTCCTGGAAGTTCTAAGATTTCTTCCGGAGTTGGAGTTGTCTTAGTTTCCCCAGGAAAGCACGTGATGCCTCGAGCTTACTCGTTGACGGAACCGTGCTCAAATAATGTAGCCGAATATAATGCATTACTCATAGGACTCAGTTTCGCCAAAGAACCGGGGGTGGAGTACCTCGAAGCCTTCGGCAATTCTCAACTGATAGTTAAACAAGTTCAGGGAGAGTACGAAGTCCGAAGCCAAGATTTAATACCATACCATAAGATGGCGGTGGAGATGGCAGAATCATTCGAAGGATTCTTTATCGAACATATTCCACGGCTACAGAATACTTATGCAGACGCGTTAGCAGCATTGGCCGTATCACTGGCGCAGCCTCCCGAAACAGAGCAGTTTGTTACGGTAAGAACTCACCAACTCCTAGTGCCGCTTTACAATGAAGATGCCAAGGAAGAAGAGGTTCAAGAGGTGCACGCTACTCAAGTCGAGTTCGAACCACGAGATTGGCGTTTCCCCATCATCGACTACGTCTTGCATGGAATCTTGCCAGAAGATGTGAAGGAAAGAGAGTCAATCCGGCGAAGAGCACCAAGATTCTACTATAATACAGAGAATCGAACGCTATACCGCAGGGGGTACGATGGGTTGCTAGCACGTTGCTTATCAACCAAAGAAGCTGAAGAGGTCCTTAGGGAAGCGCACGAAGGAGAGTGTGGCGCACACCAACCCGGTCCTAAGCTTTATGACCGCATCAGAAGAATGGGGTATTTTTGGCCTTCCATGATGAGTGATGCAATCACGTATGCCCGAAAGTGTAACGCGTGTCAAATACATGGGAATTATATGCACCAGCCTCCGGAGCATCTGCATCCTTCGGTTACGTCATGGCCATTCGAGACATGGGGAATGGACATTGTTGGCCCTATAAATCCCCCATCAGTCAAAGGCGACCGGTTCATCCTGGCAATCACCGATTACTTCTCCAAATGGGCCGAAGCAGTTCCACTCAGAGAAGTTAAAACGAGTAACGTCATTGCATTCATCAAGCACCATATCATCTACAGGTATGGTGTTCCAAGACGAATCATACATGACAACGGTCCTCAGTTTGTCAGCAACGCCTTCATAAGGTTCTGCGAAAAGTTTAAAATTCAGGACATCTCGTCGACGGCTTATAATCCTACAGCGAATGGATTAACTGAAGCCTTCAACAAGACTATCATCAAACTCTTGTCAAAAATCGTGAAAACTAATAAACGAGACTGGGATGACAAGCTTGGCGCGGCTCTATGGGCCTATCGGACCACGGTGCGCACACCAACGGGAGCGACCCCGTATTCACTGGTATACGGATGTGAAGCTGTGCTTCCATTGGAGATTCAAATCCCGTCTCTTCGGATCGCTCTTTCAACCCAGATGACGACCGAAGAACAACATCAGAAACGCCTCGAAGAACTCGAGAGGCTTGATGAAGAGCGCCTGGAAGCTCAACAACACATTGAATTTTACCAAGCTAGAATCTCTCGAGCCTTCGACAAAAAGGTTCGACAAAGGAGTTTCAAAGAAGGAGATTTGGTTCTAGCTGTGAAACGGCCTATGATCCTAAACTCCAAGAAGAAGGGTAAATTCGAACCCAAATGGGAAGGACCATTCGTAGTAGAGACAGTCTACTCGAGTGGCGCATATCGCCTTGTCACCAAAGACGGCGACCGGCTCATGATGCCGATAAACGGCAAATTCCTGAAAAGATACTATCCTTAGTATCTTTTTGGATAACCAATGCATCGGGAAGTTCCCGGAAGAATACCACATGGGTATTCTTAGGGATAACCCGGTCATTGTGGAATTGACGAATAAGAACTCTGCATTCGAACGCTGAAGGTCAGAATGTCTCTTCTTATTCCCATCAAATTCTCCAACTCTTATGAGTTATCTTTGGTGAGATGAGATCTAATCCTCCGATAGGTTAATCTTTCCTCACCAAACCATCCGCTGATCAAATTAAACGACAATGGATCCACCAACATTTCCATCTGCCCGTCGTTGGCATTTCTCAGACTCAACATGTTAGGTCCTAATCACCTAGCATTAAAGTCTTTCTTTGAGTGATAATACGAGTTGGCACTTTCTTTGCTACCCGTATTCCACTCTCTT